TTCAATATCATAAGAGCAAACTCCTAGGCTAAAGGCATTAAAATCAGGCAACCTTATCACACTTTTCCTATAGGATCCTTAGCCTTCACTCTCTGGATGATTGTACATACTGCTTCAATGGGTTTTTCTCCTGTAAAATATTTGTTTCTTTGAAAAGTTTTTATGAAGATCTTCAGATCGTTAGTTTGAGTTTGGAATTCCCCTAGAGTTCATCGAAATCCCTTAAACCAGGGCTTTGATACCAACTTGTAACATCCACAATTTCAACCCAACTTTTTTTTCTTCCATTTTTAGATTCATATAAAAATACCTTTCATAAAAATTATCCCAAGAAATCATAATATCAAATACAAATCCACATAAAATATCAGAATGTCTTAAATTATCCAGTAACAAAATCTCCCAACGCATGTTTACAATCAAGCCTTAGCTTTCTTGCGATCCTCAGAGGTACCCGAAATACATTTAATCAACAACTGTAAGCATAAATCTTAGTGAATTCCCTAAGATATCACATACAACACCACACATAAAACAACTATGGGTTATCAGCAACCCTGGAGACTACCCGAAGTCTCAATGGGCAACAACATACCCTGTTGGTTATTAGCAACGCTAGAGACTACTCGAAGTCTCAACACATATAAACAACACATACACAACATCATCACTTAGACCCAGTTGGTCATCACATATATATCTATACACAGCTTGTAACGCCTGGTTCCTAGTACGCATTTAAATTACAATTTATTCATTTTTGTAGAGCAACTCGATGAGTTGGGATCCCAACTCGTTAAGTAGAGATCAGAAGAGAGACGTGAGTCTTTAAGTAACCTACTCGACAAGTTGAGAGCCTCAACTCGACGAGTAGGCTGGCAGGGGTGAAACCTTAATTTCGGGGTTTTGCACCCTATTTAAGCATCCTAGTCCCCACATGTTGGCCTCATTTCCAGCCTCCAAGTCCCAAACCTTAGATCTAGAAACCCTAATGCATTTGTGAGCTTGTGAGCCATTTTTGAATGAAGTTTTGTGTGTGTTGAAGCTTGCGAAGGAAGGAGAAGCTTGGGGATTCAAGAAGAAGCTAGTAGATCCAGAGACTCCATTTCATTCTCATCATTTCCTGGTAAGCAAGTCTCAAACTTTCTTAGTAACTTCTTACATCTCCTTATTATCATCTTATTGGATTTTTGGTCCAAGAAGCATGACCTTTAGGAAATGCACATCCCAAGTTAGTATTGTTGGATAAGGTGTCTAAGTCCATAACTATTTCTGGTAAATACTTGACCCGACCCGGCATGGTCCATTTGGGTTGCATGGTACCATGCAATTGGATAAACTAAATGAGAGAAATAAGACATATGGTTTATTAATATATTATAAGTTCTAATATATTAATAATATTATTTAATTAGTTTTGATCAAGAATTAATTTAGAATTAATTAAGTGATCAAAAGAATAACTAATTAAATATATGGGTGGATTATATGAATCTTCCATATCTTATATAGTGGGCTAAAAGGCTTCATGGATTATCAAGTTGGGTTCCACCCATAGGATGCTCCATGGAGTTAACCCATGGATTGAGAAATGAAGAGTCATGTTACATTAGGGTTTTACCTAATGCAACACACTATATAAGGACCATGTCTCTCCCCAAAATCGGCTAGACAAGAGAAACAAGAGGGCTTGGCCGAATTTTGAGTGTGTTAGAGTATTCTCTCAAGTTTATACTTTGCATTTGGTGTTGTGTGAAGCACTTGAGGCATCACACTTGAGGTGCTAGGCTCACAAGGTTTCAAGGGACACTTTCAACAACAAGGTATGTAATTCTATCTATTATTCAAGTTAGAATTGTTCCCCATGTATGCTAGATAGGATCATAGCCTTGGAAATCAACTTTGCATAATAATTAGACAAACATAGATCCAAGGTTATTAGGGTTGCATGTAAACTTAGGAAGTGTTAGAATGCTCAAAACCCAACAAGTATATCATCAGATCTGGAAGCATGGAGTGCTTTCATGGCATAAAGGTGCAAAATTTATGGCCATTGAAGCCCCATTCAAGTTCTAATATGTCATTTTGGCCTTTTAAGCTCCAAAAGGCCATGCATGGAGAGAAAGGTGGAAGCTTTACGTGTTCATGTAGTGTCTAGGGTCCAGATCTCAGTTTGTATGCTTTAGCTTAGAGTGTTGATGGCTTGTAGACCAAGATCTAGGTCCTAAAGATTTAGGGTTTGAGCTAAACCCATTAAGTAAGGGTATTAACGGGTAAAGGTTGAAACTTTACCCTTAAAAGGACATTTTTAGTGTATATGTGAAGTATGAAGCTCATATCTGAAGAGTAGAGGCTTAATCCATTAAGATGAAGCAATAGACTAAGGAACTCGACGAGTCCATAGAGGGAATCGACGAGTTAGATCATATGCACCGATTCTGTAAAGGGTAGAACTCGACGAGTCTATGTAGGGACTTGACGAGTTTACTCGTTTTATCATGATTCTGCTAAGCATGGAAACTCGACGAATCAGAGAGATGACTTGATGAGTTGAGTCAACTCGGGGTGTTGACTTTGACTTTGAATGGACATTGATTTTTACCAAGGTTGACCCGTGAAGGGGTCTTTAGAAAGGAATGGTATCTAAGGGGTTGTTTTTGTATAGGGGTGAGTAGAGTCGGTTGCAGGAGCAGTGACGTTCACCTATTTCACCCGACATTTGATGTGAGTTTTCCTCCAGTAGGAACGGGTCGAAGACACCAATGCTGGCCCGTTTATGTATGGTGGTATGTACTGGACTAAGGTCCGATGCCGGGCGGGGCCCGATGTAGGTTTATATGTTTTTCCGGATCTTGATCCAATGCTGGGCGGTACCCGATAAATGTTTGTATGCTTGATTTCTTTGTGATTCTTGCATGTGATTGTATTTGTATGTTTCCTGACTACAGTCTGATGCTGGGGCGGTTCCCGATGAATGTTTGTTTGCTTTCTGGATATCGGTCCGATGTCGGGCGGGGCCCGAGGAATGTTATATGTCTATGATTATGTTTATGTGTAATAATAGATATGCTCATATGTATGCCGAGCTTTACTCAATGTCGGGTGGGGCCCACGATATGTTGTTATGTGATTATGTGATTTTGTGATATGTATATGGTATGTGGTAGTTTGGGAAGACTTACTAAGCTTTGTGCTTACAGTTTTCAGTTTTTGGTTTTAGGTACTTCCAGTAGCAAGGGGAAGAGCTCAGGATGATTGTAGTGCACACACCATTGTTTAGCCTGAGATGTTTATACTCTTATATATATTTGACAGATGTTATGATATTTTGAGATACACAACTTATATTTGTATATAATGTTTGATGACTATGGTTTTCCTAATGATTTAAAAATGAAATTTGTGGGCTATATTTTTGGGATGTTTCACAGCTATTCTACCACACATGTAAGAATAAGTGCGGAGACTCACCTGGTACCGATGACTAATAAATCTCACTTCCGAACTGTCAGAACTAGACTCTGTCTTCTGAAGATGCATAAGGTGAAGTACAAGTTGGATCCAAAGACTAGAATGCACCACCTTCTTCTCCAAGAACTTCCTTCTCTACCAAGAATGCCCAAGAATCACAAACAAGCTCCAAAATCACACTTACAAGGATATGGTTCGATATCTAGGGTTTGGAGGGTATGGAGGTTGGCTAATGAATGTCCAAGGGTGGTATAATGTGTTTAAATAGGGGTGAAACCCTAAAAATTAGGGTTCGGCATCTGCTCGTGTACGCCCGACGTACTCCCTCGTACGCCTAGTGTACGCTACCTCCGTCCCGACTCACTTATAGGCTTACGCCCTACGTACATGGCTAGTACACCCCGCATTAGCCGAAAATCCTCAATACTTGATTTAATAAGATAAGTAGATTGGTACCTCGAGATTTGGGATGTTACAGACATATAATACCACACATAGTATAGTGAGTTAAAAATATTAAAAATAAATTGCTAAAATATTAAAAATATTAAAATTGGTTAGACTATTTGTTGTATATGTAGAAAAGTAAGAAATTAATATTTTAATAAAAAAAAATAGGGTTCACACTGTTGCTGCTGATATATAAACACGGAAGTTCCCAAATTTTGACATTTTAAGCCTGCCAATGAACTCTTCTCGCTCAGTGTTTTTGTCGAAGTGATGATGGGTAATTAAGTTTCTATCCAAAAAGCTCTATGTTTTTATGTTTTGAAAGTCACATGTCTTTGATATCTTTTGTTCATTCTAGTTGATCAATACGTAATTCGTAAACGTTGTTTTTTTTTGGGATATCGCTGTCATCTATCACTTATCATTGGAAACAGAATCTAGAAACCCATTTCGAAAAGATCTTTTGTATGCGGTTCGAGAGGTCCTTGGATAGTTGTTATTTATGCCGGGAATATGAAGAGGTTAAGCTAGGTTAATTTTTCAAGTCGTCATGTAATTTCATCAGTCTTGAGTTGATTTAACTTTTTTGTGTTATATGGATTCCCTTTAGTACAATGTAATCGATTAGTCGCCTGTGTTTCTCCTCAACCAGTGCCACCCTACGTTTTTTATTACAATGCAATTTATCATTATGTGACTACTCATACACCTTTCTATTTGGATTTCTGTTAAGAGTAATCTTTATGCATGTAATCTTAAGGGCGTGAAGAGATCATTAGGATGCGTTTGTTAAACCCATTATTGAAGACACTTGGATTATTATCTATATATTAAGTTCACAAAACATAATATGTGAGTCAAATTTCCTTCAATCATTAAATTATATGTACAACAAATAAAACAATATCTTTCTAATGAGTTATGTTAAAACACCCAACCCAAAACCTCCATTGATAATAAAAAGATCTTATTATTATGAAGAGTACAACCAGAAATGTCAAGTTGTTCAATGTTTCTTACTGCTTTCCATTCTCCTTGCATGAAATAACCAAGTCCCCTTTGTATTTTCTGATCACCTAATGACAGCGAATTATAAAAGGAAGTCTGGAAGAGATAGAATCAGTAACTTGCCAGAACACTTAATAGCCTCAATCATAGAGCGTCTCCCTATTCAAGATGCTGTAAGGACATGCATTATATCTAAAAAGTGGAGGTACATATGGACCGAAATGAGGAAGCTGGTTTTTGATAACAAGTTCTCAAACAAATTTGCAAAAAATGGAGCTTTTGGTGGGTTTATAAGTATCATAAAACAAGTCTTGACCCTTTCCAAAGGTCCTATCTTGAAATTTTCAAAAAACGGAGCTTTTGGTAGTAATGAGTTTATAAGCATCGTAAACCAAGTCTTGACCCTTCACAAAGGTCCTATCTTGAAATTTCATCTCCATATACCAAACATATTTCTTGATAGCTTCGAAGAAGTCGATCAATCGATGTTACTCTTATCAAGAACCGGAGTCAGGGAACTCATTCTTGATAGTTCAAATCGATGTTATGAACTTCCTTCTTACGTGTTTTCTTGTCTAGAATTGACAAGGTTGATACTATACAACTGTTTCTTTAACCCACCACTTAAGTTTGAAGGATTTCTCAATCTTGAAGAACTTATTCTCCGTCATATTGATTTTGGAGCTAACTTGTGTGGAACTAAGATCAACTTACCACGACTTAAGAACTTGTCTCTGGGTTATTGCAAAAATGTTTACAATTTGAAAATCAAGGCTACAAATCTCTTCCGTTTGGCTATCACTGCTTGTCCCGATGCGATGTTGGCCACAATGTTAAGTAATTCTAAAGTTAAACGTTTTTGTATCGACGCTCAGTTTCTCAAGGTATAGATAATTCTCATGTCTATCTCAAATATTGTAATTTTCTTGTCATTTAATCTAACTTTCACTTCATAGACATTGACTCCAGAGAATATTCCAAAGTGGCTTCAGCAGCCGGACAATAGTTTAAGGTATTTGTGGTTCCGAAAATTTCATCTTGTTGACGTGGATCAACTTCGTGGTGCTCTTTGTTTGCTTCGGAACTCACCAAATATAAAGACACTGGGGATGTATCTGGAGAAGGTAAAGTAACGAGTGTTAAAAGTATATTTATTTTGATTATAATATTATACAAGTGTTATATGCTAAAGTGCGGTTGCATTTTAAAGTTATTTCAGAAGCCTCGAGTTAACATAGGACCTGCTTCAAGTATTTTGGAATCTCTAAACTGCTTGGACTATAAATTGTATCAGTTGCAAAATGTTGTTATAACATCTATAGAAGGATCAAAACCAGAAATGCTTTTCATAAAGCTTCTTCTTTCCCATTCCCCTTCTCTCGAAAAGGTTACCATTAGACCAAGTGGATCTTCTAGTGTTCAAGAAAGACTTGACATTGCGAAGGATGTTATGTGGTTCCCTCGAGCCTCACCAAAAGCCAAAATTATCTACTCGAATCCGTAATTATGTAATTAAAAATGTTCAACTACATTGCAGTTTAGCTTTATACTTTCATCCTTATGAGTATATTCGAATTATCTTTCTTTTCTTTTTATGCCCGGTATATATGTTTGCCGTTGATTGATTTTTGATAAAAATGCCAAGTAGGATGGATTTTTTTTTTGTTGCTTTATACTTTGGTCAATCTAAGTTTTTACCTACTACTCATTTTTTGCTTTTGGGTGGTGTGTGTTAATACTTATAAAAAGTTGTACACTTGAAGAAGAGACTGATGATATGGGATTTAGTGGCTGTTTGTTAGCATCTGTATTATTCATATCTGGATGATGCAGAAGTCTAGGTGATTCATATCTGGATGATGTAGAAGCCCGAGTGATATAGAGGCTGTATTATTCATATTTGGATGATGTAGAGGCGTGGATGATATTCATATCTGGATGATGCAGATGCATGGATGATATAGAGGCTCTGTATAAGTACGTATCTGAATGATTAATTGATGTTTGGTCAAACATCTCCATGCCTATATATGAATGGTGAAAATGACCATTTTAACCCTATGATATTAGGCCTTTTTTTGTGCCATTGCCATGTCTAATATTCAAAATCCAGCAATAACATGTTTCAGCAACAAAACTAGTAAACTACCACACAAGTAGATCAACAACATAACAACAAAAATTAAACAAGAAAATAGCATATTTCAACAACATAGAGAAGAAAAATCACAGCAAGAAGATATAAGATTTCAGCAACATCTATTCTTATTATCTCTAATTTGTTTTCATCAAATTTTGGGACATTTCAGCAACATATTACCTCATTTCAAAGCATATAGAGCAGCAAAACCAAGAGGGATAAAGATCAAACACAAAGACTCCCAATATTCAAACAAACAAAAAAAGAAATGCAATCCTACATCACAACAATCTAGCAACAAAAACGCAACAAAAAAAAACATACATCAAACTGAGAATCGGTGGTTGAAGCTTGATGGAGAGAACATCAAGAATATAATCGGAGGAGACGAAGCCGGAGGTCGGAGGTGACGAAGACGGAGATGTAGAGGTGTTGTCGGACGTCGATTGTAACGCCCACAGATCCGGGCTAGTCAATTTAAAGGCAATAGGGGTCAAAAAACAACTTTTCGAAAAAAAATATTATTTAGAATAAATAATCTTAACCAAGTTGTAGAATATGTCACAAGGTTTCCGTACATATAAAGAACGCCGAAATCCGAGTTATAACGAAGAAGTTATGACCCGTCGAAGTTTCGCGTCGGAACCGGCACGGCACCGGGAAGCGTAAATAGTAAATTTATGATAGAGAGAGATTTAGCCTTAGCGCTCTAAACGAAAGTCGTAGAATATGTTAAACTAAGAACATCGATAAAAAGAACGCCCAAATCTGACTTCGTATGAAGAAGTTATGATTTTTCGAAGTTTCGGATTAGCGGTGTACAACCCGAAATTCAAATTTTAGATCGATTGATTTTTAGCCGACACAACCTAAACAAGAATCGAAGATCTCTTTATTAGTAGCGTAAAGATAAAAAGACAGACGAAAATGGACATCGGATAAAGAAGTTATGAGATTTTAACGGACCAATCCTGTCCCGGCCTGTTAAAAATATAACTTTAAAAATAAAGTCAAAATTAGCCGACGGAATCTAAACGAAAGTTGTAGAGTACGTCTCTACCTACGTGTGGATATAAAGAACGTCAAAAACGGAGTTCGTATGAACGAGTTACAAATTATAATAGCATATTTACGTATTAAAATAAAGTATAAATCATGTATACGTACACACACACACACACACATATATATATATATATATATATATATATATATATACATATGTATATATCATTAGAAAGGTATCGACGATGCGGTCATTATAAGACTAATGTTGAGTTTTTTCGACATTAGTTTAGTACAAATATCATTAAATCCATTTAAAATAGTATTATAGAGGGGTGTTTAGTTGTTTATATAACTAAAAGGTCATTAAGTAATTATGGAGGGTAGTTTTTGAAAATTCAATTAGTATAAATAAGAGCCTTGGGCTCTCATATTTCTTGCACCATTCTCTTGATTCAAGAGTCTTTCTCTCCTTATCCCCCGAGCATTTCGGTCCCTCGTGATTCGACTTCTCTTTCTGTAGTTTTAGTATAGTAAGGTGAGCGCTGAAGCGCTGCACGAATCTTTCTTAGAAAGATTCAGCGACAAAGTTCTGCCCCTGCAGAGCCCGACTCCTAGCTAAAATCCCCTTGAAAGTAAGTTATGCTTACCCTATTTTAAATATAGTTTATATTTAAAATTAGTATTGTTATTATAAATTTATAATAAATATTTGAGCTATTATTATGACTTATATAAGTGTCGTTATAATATCTTTTAACTACTCGCGGTACGGGGAATCTGGTTTAAAGGGCCGCATAGGGTTGTTGGATTTCAGAAGTGCTATACGCCAAAATGGTCCTGCCCTCCGGTGTTTTATGTCTGGCCCCTGTCTGTACATAGTAGTTGGAAAGTATTGTTTAAACACTTATATAATAATAATAATAATAATAATAATAATAATAATAATAATAATAATAATAAGACTAATAATTAGTCACGGTAATATTAGACTAAAATCTAGTGGTGATAATACTAGGTTTCGTCAAAGGAAATTATTTTAAAGTAAACGAAGCGCTGTCCGAGTACCGAGTCACCACCTTCTCAGGTGAGTGCATAGTCCCTTTCATCTTACACATAGATATGAAGTATTTTATATAAACTACGTGCTATGTGTGCATATTATCTGAATACTTGCTGTCTATGCTGGATGAACGTTTTATACATGTTTTAAAGAATTTAAGCTGTATACGTATTTTATATATACGAATATGTTGGGTATGAGATGGGTAGATGAATGATGAGAGATAGAAGATGATACATTGGCAGCTATAGACTTAGTGCCTATGGGACAAACACCGGTAGCTATGGACTTAGTACCTGTTAAACGTTGGTAGCTATGGATTTAGTACCTGTTGGGAATTGGTAGCTATGGACTTAGTACCTGTTGAACATTGGTAGCTATGGACTTAGTACCTATTAGATAAAGACTGGTAGCTATGGATTTAGTACCTAATGAATAGACCATAGCAGCTATGGAATTAGTGCTTTATGAACGAACATTGGCAGCTATGGATTTAGTGTCAGTCCTATAACCCTGGAGGTAAGGGACTTCGGAATAAACGAATGCAGGATAGATGACTCTTAGGTTAAATCCTTAAAGAGTAAAGAAGATAATGGGGATGGGTAATTGGGTTGATTGTTTGATTGAACATAGTAATTATATTATTGTGGGTTGAAAACCCTATGTACTCACCAGGTTTCCCAACCTGACCCACTTAGTTTATGTATATCACAGGTGACAAAGTGAAGTGATATTACACTGAAAGATTTAAAATAGATGTAGATCACTAGTGTAAATCATTGTAAGTTCTGTTTATGCTTATGTTTCGGTATTAACGATGACATCCCAAACATTTTAAAATGAAATAAATACGTTTCTTCGAAAATGTTTTAATAACGTATTTACCATGTTTTTCTGGGAACAAATTCCGCAACCTTTTTATAAAATGAAGTACTCTGATTTTTATAAAGCATAAACAAAAATCGGTCTTTTCTGGCCGTGATTTTGGGGATGTCACATCGATGAAGGGAAGCATCAAACACAGTAGCTCGTTGGAGAGGGAGGGGAAAAAAAGCGGATGTTTTTTCTTTTAGGGCAAAGGGTATGAATGGAATGTTTTCATCTAGATCCCTCATCAAATCTGACCAATAAAGGGATTTTTTACCTCTTACCGAATAATAGGTTAAAAAGGCTTCAACCGAAAGCTCTAAATTTGAACGATTTAGAGTCAACCTCTTTATAAGACCATTAAGAGGCCAAACAAACAACCCATTAGTTTTGTTCTAATAGAGTTATGGAATGAATCCCTTATTTATTAGGTCACATAATATTCAAACTAGGGATAGCAAACACCCCAACATTTGGAAACATGCGGCGTGAATCCAAACAGTCTGAAGTATATGATACATATTAATCAGAAACGGGGAATACCCCGATTGCGGTGGATATTAATATATATACTATTATAAAGTATATGATACATATTAATAATAGCCAAAATATGATCTAATTACCCAACTTATTAGTCATTACTTAGCTAAAGTTGCATATTTCATTATTTTTATTTATTTAAAATTTAAATGAAGTTTTCTTTATCTTGCCTATTTTTACCACAAATATTTTTGTGAACAATTGCAAATTTATATATACCACAATTCTCGCAAGTGACTGTAACTAAAAAAAATAAGTTGGAAGCTATATTATTTAACAACGAAAAAGAATGCAGAACCATGTTATCAAAAATAGAATTCATCCGCATAGGTACTACATCAAACACCATGGAATTTCAGAATCACCATAACATCTACCATGTATTCAAAACTATCACCTCCAATCACCTTTTCTTTTCCATAGACACCTGCAAATCATCTACCCACGACAACCATTTTGCAATGGGCATAAACAACGGAAAAATTATCTCACACCACTTACCAATCAAGTTCTAAACTGCCAAAAACACCTCACATCGAAACATAAGAAGACTGATAGATTCAACTCCAACCTTACATAAGGGACACGAATTGGAATTTAAATCTACACCTTTACATGACAAGTTTAACCACGTAGGGATTCAATCTAAATATAAAGATCAAATAAAGATATTCACTTTACGAGGGACCACCTTACACCATCGAGTAATAGTCTCTCCACTTACCAACAAGATATCATCGATATGCCTCATGGTAGATCTAACTGAGAAGTTGCCAAGATTGCACCAGTAACGATCAGGATTTTATGAAACGAACACTTCCTAAAGAAAAAAACTCCAATTTTTGCAATTGTTACTGTTCCATGCCCATTCTCACTCCTCTACACA